CGCCTCTAGCTGTCCCACAAGCCGAATTGTCTCTTTTATAGACCAATATGTCATATAGAGGAAAGCGAGAATGAGGAACCAATAGAAAATTCCGATGAAGCACTTCAGCTCCCAGAGGATGAAGGTGAATTGCTAGTCATACGACGAGTCTTACAATCAGAACCAACACGTGATCAATCATGGCTAAGACAAAACATCTTTCAAACAAAGTGTACAATTAAAGGTAAAGTTTGCGGCCTGATAATCGACGGTGGCAGTTGAGAAAATATCACATCGGCACTAATGTTGATAAGGTTAGAATTACCCACACAAAAACATCTTCAATCCTATTCCCTCACTTGGCTGAAAAAGAGGAATTAAATCTGCATAAACCAACAATGCCTTGTTAAGTTATCGATAGACAACCAATTAAAGGAACAAGTATGGTGTGACGTCGTTCCAATAGACACATGCAATATTCTATTTGGACGACCTTTGCAATATGACTGTAAAGCTCAACACGAAGGGTTAAAAACACATACTCATTCAAGAAATTGGCAAACACATCTTCTTACTACTAAGTAAAGATGCAAGAGGTGCAAAAGAACAATCGTTCCAAGAGCAACACTCATGCAATCAGTTCGAGAAGCACTGATGGCACTAAACCTAATCTTACTCGAGGGGTCCGAGGAAGAAGTCTTAATACCAGCATGCCTACAACCTCTATTACAAGGCTTTCAGGACGTCATGTTAGACAGTCTGCCAGAAGGATTACCACCACTGAGGGACATTCAACATGCAATATATCTGATACCTGAATATATCTTACCAAATCGACCGACCTACAAGCTAAGATGATGAAATATAAAGAACTACAACGAAAAGTGCAAGATCCCGTCACCAGAGGGCTAGTTAGAGAAAGTACAAGTTCGTGTGCTGTGCCCGCCCTAATGGTACCCAAGAAAGATGAATCACGGAGGATCTGTATCGATTACAAAGCCATCAACAAAATAACTATCAAGTATTGATTCTCAGTTTCTCGATTAGATGACCTTTTGGACCAGTTACACGAAGCCACTTCGTTCTCAAAGATTGACTTATGCAATAGATAACACCAGATACGGATGAGGCCCGACGAAGAATGGAAAACCACCTTCAAGACACAGGATTGACTATATGAGTGGATAGTCATGCCCTTTGGGATATCAAATGCACCCAATACTTTTATGAGACTAATGAATCAGATATTTCCCAACCTCATTGGGAAGTTCATCATAGCTACTTTGATGATATACTGGTATACAATGATTCTGAGGAGGAACACGTGCAACACTTGATAGAGGTATCGAAGTACTCAGGAACGAGACATTATATGCCCATCCAAAGAAATGCACTTTAATGAAAAATCAAGTATGTTTTTTGGGGTACATCATATCCAGTGCAGACATTCAAATGGACCCCACAAAAGTCGAAGCCATTATACTTGGACCTCTCCATGATTATTCACCGAATTAAGATAGTTTTTAAGGTTATCATCATTCTACTGTCACTTCATTAAAAATTTCAGCACTGTTACTACTCCCCTCACCGATCTTTTAAATGGAAAAGAGTTAACTTGGCCTAGCACCGGGCAGACCAGCTTCGACACACTCAATGAAAATGTAACTCAAGCACCAGTTCTATTCTTTTTAGATTTTACACGACTGTTTGAAGTAGAATGTGACACATCTGGCGTCGGAATCGAGCCCGTACAGAGCCAAGGAGGTCACCCCATCGCGCTTTTTAGGGAGAAACTCATCGAGTTCAGGAGGAAATACTCAACCTACGACAAAGAATTCTACACAATTATAAGAGCCCTCGAGCACTGGAGCCACTACCTATTGTCAAGTGAGTTCACTTTGTTTATAAATCTTGAATATTTGAAATTTCTAAATAGCCAGAGTAAGCTTAAAAGCCAAAATGCATAGAATTGTTGGCATCATTCAATTTCGTCCTTAAGCACATGCTGGGAGCTAGGTGCGTCACAAATGCGCTAAGCAGACGTCACTTATTAATCACCTCAATACACACAAGCGTCGTAGGGTTCGAGATCATCAAAGACTTGTACATAGCAAACGAAGGCTTTAAAAATATATGGGAACAATGTTAGGCAAATTCGACAATGCAATGCTACTGTGCAGATGACTACTTGTTTTATCACAATAAATTATGCATTTCAAGATGCTCCTTTAGAGTAACAATTGTACATTAGAAACATAATGGAGGTCCCACTTTCCATCTCGGCGGAGACAAGACTCTCACTCTTGTCAAAGAACACTTCTTTTGATCTCGACTAACAATGAATGTAGAGTGACACGTCCGACAATGCAGGATTTTCTATTTGTCAAAAACAAGGGGGCATAATAGATGGCTGTATACGCCATTGCCCGTATTAGAACCACCCTGAGTGGATGCCAACATGGACTTCGTATTGGGTCTCCTTAGGACAGAGAAACCAAGATTTTGTAATGGTTGTAGTGGACTAATTTTAAAAAATGACAAGTTTTGTACACTATCACTGCACACTTGATGCCTCTTATATAGCTGACTTATACTTCAGAAAGATTGTCTCCGCCAAGATGGATTGTGGGGCCTCCAGAACTATTACCTCTGACAGAGATGTCAAATTTGGAGTCACTTTAGGTGTACTTTATGGGGGAGGTTAGGCACCAAGCTCCAATTTAGTTCAGCAGCTCATCCAAAGACACAAGGTCAGACTGAAGTTGTGAATAGAAGCTTGAAAATCCTACTGAGATGTTTTGTGGGAAAGAATATCAAATAATGTGATCTCATTCTCGTCCAAGCAGAATTCACCTACAGCAGATCCACAAGTCAGACAACGGGACACAGTTCATTTGAGATTGTCTACGACCGCAACCCACTCGCAGCGCTTGATCTGGTTCCACTCCTATCAACTTCAGAACTCAACCAAGATGCTACAGAACAGGTTCATGAAATCCAACAAATACATGAAGAGGTTGACAAAGAGATTGCTAGACAAAACAAAAAATATCAAGCACAAAAAAAATAAGTCAAGAAAAAAGGTGACATTCAAAGAGGGTGATCTCGTATGGATTAGGTTGAAAAATGAACGATTCTCCGTAGGAGCTTTCGAAAAACTGAAATCTAGAGCAGACAGTCCTTTCAGAATTTTGCGACAACTCAACGACAATCTATACTAGATTGACATACCGAGGGAATACAATATTTCAGCCACATTTAATGTTGCTGATATTACTCTGTACTTTGAGGATCCAAAAGCTTCGACATTTGAGGTTGAAGCTCCCCTAATCCTGGGAGACTGACGTGGGGTTCATGGGAGGGCTGACCGGGTGCAGGTTCAGCCAAGCTTGACTGGCCGGTCCCCTTAAAGGGGGGCCCCTCCGCCCTCTCCTTCTACTTCTTTTTCATTTCCTTTTCTCTCCCGTCCTTGTCTTTCCCTTTTTTTTCTTTCGTTTTTTGCATCCCTAAACTTTTCCTAATTCTCTATTCTTTCCTAAAAACCAAAATATGATTTTGTTCTCCTAATTTTAAAATCCTTGCATTAAATCTGAAATTTGATTTGATTTCCTTATTTTAAAAGTCTTGCTTAAATTATGATATTCCTTTTTTATTTTAATGTTTCTTAAAATTGAATAAGTCTTTTATAAATAGGAGTTTTTGTGTCTAGGGTAAAGGTCTTAATTTTAAAATCTAAATTTGGCTTTGCCTGAAATTTTTCCCTCTTGAGGGTTGTATCCGACGAGGAAGGTGCTCCTCATGTAACCCCGGTCGAGGTGGTGATTATCTTCACATTTTTAACTCCTCTATGTTGTCCTGTAGTCCGCCGACGTTCCCGCCAACGTCCAACACATCTGGCCACCTCCCTGTCATCCCTCAACTGCCCGATTCCTCTCTACTGCTCTTCCAGGTTGCTGCCAGCCCTCCTACAGCCTCCCTACTACCCTTTCATGTTGCCGACAATTCCGTGCAGCCTCCCTACAGGGTGGCGCATCCCCCTGCTGCCCTTCCATATCGCTGACAGCTCCTCACAACCCTTTCAGATCTTTGACAGCTCCCTTGCAGGCTTCTATCGTCCTACCGCCTCCCTCACAGCAGACAACAACCCTCTCTCCAGCGTCTAGTCCACTGTCTCCTTCCTCCCAACAGGCTGCAACATTTTTTCAGGCTTTCCCAACGCCTCCCACCACTGCAGGCCCCTTTCTGTCGTCTGCAACCCGCCTCCACTCCTTGCCTTCGGCCGCCTTTCTTGCCTCCGTTCCTCGGCTTCAGCCACCATCCTTGCCGCCTCCAGATTCCACTCTTTGACGCCGTTCCTCTACGAGTGCTGAATTGCTACCCTACTTTGCCTGACGTCGCTCCGACCTTCACCACAGTTGCCGCTCCAACACTACCTCTCCGGACTCTCTCCTTGTCGAGTTTTTTTTTTTTTTTTACTTGTTGAGTCGGGCTAACTCCAATTTCAGTTTGTATGCCTCTTTTGTATTATTTATATTAGATTAAATCCTAAAATACCATTTGATTATTCTTATGTGACTAATTTAATCCCGGTGTATCATATTTCTCACATTTAGTCCCTAAACTTTACAAAATATGATTTGAAACATGGTTGTCATGCAGATGAGGTGATTCTAAATTTTTCCCACTTTAGTCTCCTGATTATATGAAATTGATCTCAATGTACCCCCCGAGGGATTTATTCTGGATAAATCTTGTATAATCTAAGAGAGTGAATTGCAGAAATATGGCACTTTGGGAATAAATTGGCCCCATATAAATAATCAGGTGGCCATTTTGATGTTTAACCCTATTTATATCTGTCCTACAAATTTCTCTCATGTGAGCATTTTTGTGCTTTTTCGAACATTTCCACTTTCTATTATTGTCGAGATCTGTTTGTTTCTTTTTTTTTTTTTCACCAATGACATTTTTTTTTTTTTTAGCCAAAGTCTAATTTGGAAATGTTTCACACTTTTTCGCAGGATGGAAAGCTAATCCTGTTGAGTTTGATTCAGTTTTCAATCGCAGTAGACACACATTTGCTTTTGGTAGTCCGGATATTATCCCAATCTTCTGCGGTGGTTTGTCTCATAGTACTTGGGGTTCATACCCCCATGAATTCGAAGACTTTGCAACTGGTTAGTTTATAGTGTAATAGATTTCATTTGTTTTGTATGTCCTTTTCTGGCACTGTTTTTGATAGTTGTTATGTTTCTTACCTTCTTATTTTAAAACGTAAGAGTTTAAAAAAACATGATAATAAAAAGTTTTTGATTTTTATCCATCATTACACTAATTTTCTTACTTACTGAATTTTGCTACTGTTTGTTAACAGCACATCTAAATGTTTGGTGGATTGATTAGTTTTCAGTCATGGCGGTATTACGATAAGGGCCATATATAAGTTAATATTTAGTTGAAACATGTTTGTTTACTCTCAGGAGTTTTGTAACTTTGACTTTCAAATTAAATGTTTCATTGAAGGCGATGATTCTTAGGGTATGCAGCCTGGTATTTTTGTCTGTTTAATCAGTGATAGCTGCACGATTTGATGGTAGCTTTGCTTTATTATGGGCTTATTTATTTTCTTATTGTTATTCTGTTAAATTTTCTTAAGAAAAATAAGGAAAATAACCTTAGCAATGCTAAATCTTAATTTTGCAACTTAAATTACCTTTTTGAATGCTCCATTGAGTTGGCCCACCGAGTCCTCAACTGCCTGGTGGAATCTCCATATAATTAGAGCTGATGGAATCTTTCTTCATTGAATGCCGCATTTGCGCTAACAAAGGTCTGATTTTGATTTTCTAGTCAAAGCAACTCCCATACCTACATTTCTTCTAATACAGTTAAAACCTATTCTGTATAAACTCCAGCATAAATGATATTAAACTTAAAAATATGCTATGTACTACTCGAAAACAAGGCTAATTTTTGCATTACAAAAAGAAAAGGCAACGTTTAAGATCTACTGATGATTAGCCTTAATGCATTTTAAAGTTGTCTTGGTTGGCTGAATTCTTCTGGCGACTGGATAGGTTATGTGAAGCTGTCAAGAACGCAGCTAAGCATATTCGTATCTGCCTTTGTGTGACATGGGAGACTGGTGCATGGTTTACAGTTTATGTGTTTAAAACAAAATAAGACCAAGACCATGTCTGTTGAGACAGATTCATTCATGGGTAAGGTCATATACGGGGTTGAGTAAAGTGCCAAAATAAACCCCTGATTATTTGCAGAAGGTTATTTTAGTCCAAGAGTTTATAAAAATGCTAAATTAATCCTGCATCTTTTAATGGGGCTAAATTACTCACTGGGGATTATTTTAACCCATACTAAAAGAGTTTGGGGACTAAATTGATTTTTTTATAAACTTTGGGATGACCCCCTACAGAGAGGTCTTTTCTTTGAGCATTTTTGAAATTGCTTGACAGCCCTGAGTTATTTTTTTTAACATCTACTTTTTGGATGTTGTAATCTGAAAGTTTAGAGAAGAATTATGCTGAACTAGATATTTGCTACAGTATTCTCGCTTCTTCTTACGGATGGAAATGGAGAATTGGGGATGATAATCACTCTATTACTGTACTTGTGAGTGTTTGCGAAGGCTGCTACCTTGCTCATCTTGTACTTATCTCACGAGTTCCTTTTAAATCTTCTTTGATAATTTGGTGTAATTTCTGTTTGTAATATATTCTGTTTGATAATGTGCAAAATACTTCATATGCTTATGATGCCATATATCTGCTGCGTTACGTCAATTACTATGAGTAGCATATAAATCATTTGCGGAGTTTTGTCATCCTGCCCCCCTTTTCTTGAAATATCTTTTTGATGTCATTCATTTGAAAGTTTCTTTTTAATTTAGACATCAAATTTTGCTAGATTTATATGTTATAATCAGGAATGATTATTTTTATTTTCTGAAATTTACATAAGTAGCACACAATTCTTATTTATTCTCATATCTCTCACCTAAACTTTCATATTTACACACATAGCACTTTGGTGCTTTAAACCTATGCATGATTTGAGTGCTATGTGTGTACATATGAAAGATTAGGTGTGAAATATGTAAATTCGTAAGAATTGTGTGCTATGTATGTAAATGTCCCTTTTATTTTTTTCTTTGTTTTGAGCTAGCTTTTACTGGAGCAGTTTTTTATTGCAGATGCATCTTTTCTGGATCAGTGGTCTTTTGATCAATTTTACAGACTTCTGAACAGGTCCTATGATGATAATAAATTAAGGGAGCTGCTTCAGGAGAATAATGTTGTCATATTTTTGCATTTGCTTGGTTGTGATACAAACGGCCATGCACATAGACCCTACTCCTCGATATACCTGAATAACATTAGAGTTGTTGATCAGATAGCAGAGAAAGTTTACAATCTTGTTGAAAACTACTTCAAAGACAACAAAACATCTTATATTTTCACAGCAGATCATGGGATGAGCGACAAAGGTATGTAGATATTTTGAATTATTTTCTCTTTTTTCTTAAGAAGTTGAGTTTTGGCATATAAAATATTATTTTAGGAAACTTCTCTAAATATATCAAGTGGAGTGTGATTATTTCGCTGTATTGATTGTATTTTTATAAATAAAACGGTTGTCTATTGAATAATGTACACAATTTATTTTTCCATTGGAATGAGATTAGAGCAGGACCATCCTTCCTCACCCTTTTGTTTCTCTAACTTGCAACCACATTCCAGGACCTTATCAGGGTATTGCAACTGATCACGTAATGGTTTTGAACTCGCAAAACCACTACTGATCTATCCTGCTTCTCTTGCCACAATTACGAACTAATTTTTTATGATTGATTTCTCAGTAGCACTTCTCATGACTCTGATATTGGAGTTAACCCAAATAATAATAGGAAATTAAATATTATTACTGAAATCAAATATACAGTTATAATCAAACACATTTGAAAGGGAAAATACAACTCACACGACACACAAAATCACATTAGGGCGGATCCTAGGTGATGGTGGTGACGGTTTGGGGGGCTTGGAGAGGTGGAGACAAGGTAAGGAAGGGGTTTCTGAACCGTGAATGAGGGATAACAATAATTATAGGCAGCTGGAACAACAAGGCAACAGGGGGCGACGGTCCAAACAACGACAGTTTGTTATTTGGGGTTGCTAGACAACAAGAAAACAATAATGAGAAGGCGTTGTGATTGCAGTAGCGACGATAGAGACTGGAACAGTGAGGGCAGTGAGATAGGCCTGGAATGGCGATGGAAGCGAGTATGGGGTGGCTGGAAGGCTGTGAGCTATCGAAAACAACAAGAGGGAGGATTGGCTGCTGATTCAGAAGGAAAGTAGGACGTTGGAAGGCAGGAGGTTGGAACAACGATAACAGCAAGCTGGGGTGCTGGAATTACAAGGAACTTGGGCTTGTATGTAGAAACTACAAAAACATCGTCGACAACTGTTCCAAGAGGCTACAACTGCACAACGTTGCTGATAATGGGTTTCAGACCCCCTAAATATCGGGCTATGAAATATTTTTCTGGCTCAACCGACTCACACTCCATATGCAAGTGGCCAAACTGTGTCATGAACTCCACTAATATATCTTGCTGTTGTAGGCGGTGGAGTCTCAAAACCATATCCAGAAGTAATGAGGAGGCATGTGTTTTCTCTGCATCTCCTTACTCATATTCTCTCATCTAGTAATTTTGTCACTATCTTCTTTCTCTGAATTTGTAAGTTTTCCTACCACAAGGAGGCTCTCTTTCTCAATTTAATGGTTGCAATCTTCGATACCTTTATTCTTGAAGGTCCTCACAACTTATTGTAGCTATTCAATAAAGACATTTGTATCCATACCTTCATCGAACTTTGATAGATCTACTTTGATGCCAAAATTCCCATGGTCTCCCGGTTATTTACTATTATAAATATGTTTGTTTTTTTTTAAATGTTAGCTTTTTTTGAGTTTTTTGTCATGACAGTTGTCGGTGTCTCAAGTTCTCCCTTTTATGGTTGTATCCGAGGACAGGTGGTGCTCCGACTGTATCCAGCTTCGAGGTGGTGATTACCTTCCTATTTCCTTTTCCCTCCCCTCTGCCTGCTTGGCAATGTTCTTTTCTCAGTGACCCCTTTCTGCCATACGCTCCTATGTCCACTCGTAACCCACTTCCAACCCCTTTGTCCAGTTGCAACTCTAATAGCTGTGCTCTACACTGTCGTAATCTCCACTACCCGCTTCTTCCCTGCCATAACCCATTTTTTGTCTGACTGCAGTTTCCGCAAAGCCTTCCCTTGATTGCCTGTTGTTGGTCCAACCCAGATGTGTCTGCATGTTGTGCCTCCAACCCATCCCAACCCTTTAGTTGCTACTGCAACCCAATTTCCAACTTTTAGCTATGGCCGCAACCTCCAACTTCTCAACCTACCTATTGTCCAGTCAACACCACGACCTTCTTCCTCACCCTAAGGTGTTGTTTGTGCTTGTTGACTTTTATGTTGGTTCTAAGAACTCTTATGTTGTAATTCCACCATAATTTTGGGATAATATTTTCAGCTCGTTGCTATTTTTGGGTTAACTCTAATATCATACTTACTTGTGCCCTTTTTTTTTTTCTTCTAAACATATGTTTTTTTAATACATGCATTATAAAAAGAAAATGGTATGAATGCAACAACGTTAATTAACTAGAATTGTTAGGGTACAAAAAATAAAAAAAAAAGAAGAAAAGAATAAATACATAAAATAGTATAGGAGAGCAAAAAAGAAGAACATGTGCTCGATTGGATCACGTTATTTGTCTATAAGCATGTCATCACTTATACTACGTCTATCAGAATCTTTTGGTTGTTGATTATCATTACCAATATTTTGACTAACAGGAGGGAGAGAGGAATCGTCACAACCACAATCAAAAGGATTAACGGAAGATACTGAAGCCATGACTATAGGGCTAGTAGGGACACACACACAATTGACTCAGGATTATGAGGAAAATCAATTGGTTCTAAATTTTGAGATCAAGCTTGAAGTGATGATGGGAGTTTGATTTTTTAAATGACCTTCTTGTTTCTGAACATTTGATTTTCTTATAATCCGATGAGTTTTGAAACAACTATATCCAAAAAATTTATAGAACACTTTAGGGGATGCCTTGAAAAATTACTTTATGCCAATAATTATATAACTTTGAGCTATTTCACTTATTGTTTTTCAAAGAAAATGCAAAGTCCATTTCATTCAAAGTTCTGGCCATAGAAGGCCTCAAAAGATGAACAAGCATCCACTTGTAGAAGTTTATCAAAGATAGATCCCAAATAATAAAGTTGCTTAATTGAAGAAAAAAAGTCGAAGCTTAGGAAAAATAGCCCATATAATGGTGATTGGTGGTTTTAGGTATGCATCAAACTGGGGATATAACTTAACCATATGCATTGAAAAGCCATTGACAAAGCATTTATATTCGTCGAAGGGTTATGCATAGTCTACATCTAAGAAAAGTTGTGTAATGATGCAGCATGAATCAATTGATCTAATTGGACAGTTACCCATCAAGGGTAGGTTTGACAAGAATTTGCGAATGGCAAACACACGTGGTTGGCTCAATGAGAATTTGCTTATAATAGACGAAGAGAGTAGCCTAGCAACCTTAGAGATTTCCTTATAAATGAATCCAAAATTCTCTTTAAAAGAAGTTGGTTTCTTATATTGCGAAAGAATATGGTCTTGATTGAAATATAAAAGAAAATTGACACTAGAAGCGGAGAGCAATCCTGAAATATAGTAAAATCTTTGGACCATTAGAACCATCGACACATGAGATGATGTTTGACTTGGAGGAGCCATTATGCTTAAAGGAACATCCACATAGGGAGGTGATTGTGAAGCTTGAACCGGCCAAAGGTAGAGTATGAGAGCGACACTGATCTAGAACTGGCAAAAAGGTTGCCTATAGAGGAGAATAGCTATTAGTGAGGAAGGATTCACACATGGGTGAAACTCCGGGACAATGAGAAGCCATTCAACGTTGTAAAATCATGCGCAAAAATGTACACAAGTGCATGTGGAAGCGTATGGAATGAGATGCACTCTAATCATATATCATGGCCCATGGATCCTCAATGATATGACCCATATGTCAATTCAATTTATCTCCTAGATATGAAGAGCTTGAAGTTGAAGCAACATCATTTTCTTCCTTGCCTTCTTAGTACGACATATAAAGAATCATTTACTTAAATGACATTTTTTTTTTTTTGTATTTTTTATCCTTATGATTGCTTTGAAGTGATTTTTTAATTATAAATATTCTATCGAATATTCAGAGATGTATTTTTTATCCTTATGATTGCGCTTTGAAGTGATTTTTTAATTATAAATATTCTATCGAATATTCAGAGATTATATATTTATTTTAATCTCAAGTATAATAAAATATTTATTGCTGTTTATCGTGTTATTAATTTAGACTTGTTGCATGATGAATGTCATTATCAGATATTTGCTTTTTGTTGACAGCTATTAGTCATGAAAATGAAGAACTAAGAGTCTATTTTCTTTGATTTATTATTTGGGATTGAGTGCAGGAAATTTTGGAATCGATAGGAATTATGGTTTGAAGGCTTTATGATGTAATTCTGAAAACTTGGGGCTCCATCATTATTATGAATAGACCATATAATGAAAAAATAATTGGAGATTTTAATTAGGGCTTCCTCACATGCAAAATTCTTGTTCTTTTGAGGGTTCGGGTTGGAAATGAAGCCATGGCTTTGCGCTACCAAGCTAGGGTTGATGTAGTTGGTATTAACAGAAGTGACCAATAAATACAGTTGCATGGAATTGGGTTAATTCAAAAAATAAAGCTATTAATCACTCAATTTCAAAAAGAAAATGAGGAAGATATGAATAAACAACATGTGGTAATCAGAAAACTTTTGGTAAAGAAATTTATGATAAAAGGGTGATTTGGTTATGAGGGAGATTAAGTAGAATAATTTTGATTGCTTCAAGCTTGGAAAAACAGCTTTAGGGTCTCCTATTTATCAGAATATTGGAGCCAAATTCATATCTAAATAAATTTATTTTAAATCCTTGCAACAAAATAGAAAATTGTCCTAATATCACGACAAATATTCATATCAAATGCAAGTCGAAATAATCCAAATATCTCTACTAAATTTTTGCCAAGCCTTATCTTGAATTAAATTTTTATCTTTGAAGTTTCTTTCTATCTTCTGGAAAATTTTTGTTACATTTTTAATGTTCCTCAAGCTTCTAGAAGGTTCTACAACTTCTCAGAATTTTATAATTCCTAAAAAAGTAGTCCTTAATTGCACTAGATTTGGTGTTGGAGATCCTCTTGGTATCTTTTCAAGCATTTTCTCTTGCAAATGCCATGAATCATAATATAATGGTAACACAAAAATAAGATATACAGTTGACTAATGATATTAATATTAATTACTCCAAACAATATAAAAATTTTTTATAATCTGCCCATCCGATTTAAAATCCCCAATAGTGAACATTTTTGTTAATGTAACCTATTTGTATATATGATAGCCAACCTTTTGATAAGGTTAGATAGTTATGGTCGATCAAAATTTGATGAACCTTGAATGGAGCTGAAGTTAATGCACTATTCTCTATTAAGGGATTAGTAAAAAATATTTATCATTCCTCTCAGGCAACTTCATAAATGCTATTTATTTCCAATGTGTCCTTCAAATCTATCTAATATCATGTTCGACGTTTGAATTTAGTTTTGAACTCTTTTGGTATTTACCTCATTACTCATTTTGGTACACATTTTGTGGATTTATTTGGTCATATCCATATCCTTTGAAGCTTGCAATCTGTGAACTCCTTTGTCGATATGCCAATAGGTAAATCAATAATAATTTCTTTTTGATCCTCTTTTTTTTTTTCACTCTTTTTTCTTTTCTTCTTTTGTATGTTGGATCTCTGTTTTGGATGATTGGTCGAAAGTGACGTTGGATGCATTAAATATACCCTTCTATATTACAATAAGATATGTAATGGATGCCATGATATCAACAATCTACTTTGTACAATTATGTGAGTTGGAGAAAGTTGTAATTAGTAGAGAAACTAAAACTAAAGGAAAGGGATGGTGAAATAAAAAAATAAGGGGTTATAAATGTCTTGGTTTAAAACTTCCCTAGTCTTAATTTTTTTTTAAATTATTATAAATTTTATTATTAAATAAAAAATATATTAAATATTAAATTATTATTAAATATTTAAGTTTATGGTGTAAAATTTTTAATACTTTATATGATATTAAAGAGTTTAATAAGAATCTAGAGGTAGCAAATGCCTTCCATAACCATCCCTAGGTTCCACCACTATTTGTAATAGCCCTTGAAACATTTGTACTCTAATGTCTTGATTAGACATGGATTCATAATCCATAGAACTTTTTAGGTCTTTACTAAATTTTTCTCGTGTCATAAAGAAATCTTACAAATTAAAACTACGCTTTGGCACAACTAATATGGGGTTGAGGTGCTGAAGATTTTTAAAATTGATATGAAATTAGGTTTTCGGCTTGATGGTGTAGCTGTAAAAATTGAAGACCTATCAATATGAAATCAAATGATATAAAGAGAAGTGAATTATCATGCAAAGACAACAATTCAACCCCTAATTAAGGTTACCTCGCCTGCAACTTCTCAATCCTTTGAGTATACACGTCAAATACTGATCCAAGCCAACAATTTGACCCGAAGCCAACTAAAAAATTTGGGTTTGGATTCACCCTATTTACTTTACGGTAGGGTTCAAGTATAATATTGTGGCTTTTTTAATTTTTGGTTGGGGTTTGGATCGACTTGCTAACCTGAAGTCATACAAATTGTAGTCTAAATTTAACTTGAAAACCCGAACTTGATTTAAATGGCTATTATAACTTATGTTAAATGGGTTTCTCCAGTCGTGTTTAGGTTTAGGGTTTAGAGTCCAGTCATGCAGGTTAGTGTCAAATCCTAACATGATCCAATAATTTGAATTGACACACCTAACTTTGAAGACTTAGGAGTTGGAGTCATGGCTTTTGTAGTGATTCGGGGCTATTGGACTCTGCATTAGCAAAAGTAATAAAAAAAGTTATGGGGAATTGATTTAGTGAGATATAAAGCTCATACTCAATTCTGGTATGAAATGAGAGAAGTATGTTAAAAAAAAACTTAGTAGTCACAAATTTCTTGTGGTGGATTTAGGAGAAAGATTAATTTGGCCCATTGAGACAGAATTAAGAAAAGAATTTATTTAATTCAAGCTCAAATCGAACATACCAAAGGCCTCTTATTTTTCAAGAATGTATGAGCCTAATTCAAATCCAAATAAATTAATATTCAAACCCAATCTAATTGTATAAAAATTAGAAATTATCCCAGATGTCATTACAATCTACCCAACATTCAACTTAATTGTAACTGAAAATAATCCAAGTATCCCTACTAAATTTTGGTTAAGACTGATATTGTCATAAATTTTGATGCCGAAAGCTTCTTATTTTCTAAAAATCACTGGGTTCATCTGGAAGGTTTCCTAGGTTTTAAGGAGCATTTAAAATTTTCTAGAATGCTATATATTTTTTAATATTTCTTAAAGTTTATAAATCCTAATTGTTTTATATTTTGATTGTGGATATCTTTTTGTTTCAATGCATTAGCCCATCTAATTGCAGTCTTTTTTTACCATAGCATCATCACCACCACTATCTCACAGTTCCTCCTGCACCTTGGCCCATCTAATTTCGTCATCTTCTATATTCTAGATCACTTTAAGAATCCTACTAGCTCACAGTCTTCTTAGTTCCTATTAACCTAATTCTTGTGAATGGCTTTCCTGATATTATTAGCTTAATGGTACCTTTACTTTTTTCAATCTCTTGCATAATCCCACAGTAATTGCAGCTCCCAACCATATTTTTGTTTATTCTTCCGTTTTTTGTGCATAAGATGCCAGCTCAACTTGTTTTTCTATTTCCCGATCTTCAAAATTTTGGGAAATTTACATAGAAACCACAAAATTCTAATGTATTTACATATCTAACACCTTAAATTTGATATTTACACTGATAACACTTCGGTATCATAAACCTATGCATGAAAATGTGTATTTCACTTTTAAAAAGTTAATAATGGTAGTATTTTTAAATTGATGTTAAAGTTTTGAGCTTCATAAATGTTAATATGAAAGTTTAGGCACTGTATATAAAATTACAAAAGAATTGTGTGGTAATTGTGTAAATGCCCCAAAATTTTTTAGCCACAATAACATTGTGCCGTTTACGTTGGCTTTCATAGTTTTAAATGCATCAATCAATCTTTGCCCGTTTCTGGTCAACTCATTTTGGCTGTCATCCCCAGCATCCAAAATACTATGGACATATATGAAAATTTGAAACATTTTTATACTTTACAAATGATCGTTTTGCAATTTGTACACTGTTGCTGAACTCTAGGTTCCAATTTTCTTCTCATTCCGGTATTAAATTCCAGGAAGCCATGGGGATGGACATCCTACAAACACGGACACACCGCTTGTAGCTTGGGGGGCCGGTATAAAGGGTCCTAAACCGCTATCCCAGAACCATCAACCTGATAACAATTTCCGTTTTGTTGATGACCACAAACATGACAGTCCTACCCCTTATGAATGGGGCCTTACCGGCATAGAAAGAGTTGATGTAAATCAGGCTGATATAGCACCTCTAATGGTTAGATACTTGCGGGCCTTAAAATTTATGGGCATTTAAAAACATACCACCCAGTTTTTATGTATTTATATGTCGAACACCTACGCTTTGCCTTTTACATTTATATCACCCAAATCTTTCATATCACATAAAAAATATCACTATTTTAAATGTTAGAAGATGAAATACACCTTTTCATGTATAGGGAAGGTTGTATATAAAAATTTAAGTTTAGGTGTTAGATATGTAAATACATAAGAATTGAGTGGTATGTGTGCAAATCATCCTAAAAATTTAGATATGATTGACGTGTTTAATTTACCTTCATGTTTGTAGATTCTGTCATCTTTTGTAGGCCACACTTGTTGGTTTGCCGTGCCCAGTCAATTCGGTTGGCAATTTACCACTGCAGTACCTTCAATTGAATAAGGTCTGGCTTTGAAGGCAGGTTAAAATTGAATATCTTTTCAGTGTACATTGCCTGACCCCTTCTTTTGTTTGTTCTGCAAATTATGCCGATATTATATGTGTAAATATTTTCCTTTAGAGGGGACCTTTGCACTCAATTATTTCCTGACTTAGCAATTGCTTTCATTGCTACCTTTTGTTTTGTTTTTAGGAAGACGAAGTTGAAGCTGCTCTTTCAAATACAAAAGAAATTTTAAATCAGTTTCTTCGCAAGTCACGTATCCTTATATTGTTGAATCATTTTATGATATTGTTCTGTATTCTTGAACAAAACCCATCTCGTTTTGCATATCCGGCCTTGAATCATTAGATATTATCCATTAGTTGTATTTTGCTATTTTATTGTAAAACAGTTTCTTGAGATACAAAATTTGTTTCTATTTCCTTGATCAGATGCTAAGAGCTAAAGCAGTCGAGTTCACTTCAATTTAAACCGTTCAAGCCATTGACAAATTATTCCTCTGTTCTTGGTCAAATTGAAGATTTCATATCTGCACATGATTATGAACCTGCAATGAAATTGTCTGAAAATCTCAGAAGATTATCCTTGGCCGGAATTCACTATTTTCAAACCTATGATTGGTTTATGCTGATGAGCACTGTTACGCTTGGTTATGTTGGATGGATGATCAATCTTATTTTACACATACTGCAGTCATACACGTTATTGTCAAGAAACCTTTTTGTGAAGAAAAATCGAACACCACCTCAGGGAAGTATAATGAAGAAAGTAAGGAATTTCATCAAGATTTATATAAAATTTTATTGAATTTGGTTCATATTTCATTGTACGGTTTTTATTAGTTGGCTTGCTATTAGCTTAGGTGCCATTTGGGATCACTTTTTGTTTTAGTTTTTTCAATTTTTTTATTATTATTATTTTTTTTATTTAGATTGCTAGGAAGATGTTATTTTTAGTATCTTCTATTATTTATACTTTTAAAATTGAGATTATTGGTATGTCATAATTCTTGTTTCCTTATTTTATCTTAGGGAGCTATGACTGTTATTATTGTTTTCCTAATACGAGAGCCATCCTAACTTGTAATCATTTTCTATGAAATTGAAGAAAAAAATATAAATTTTCTTTCTTCATAACTTACATGGTCTCAGAGCTTGTAAATGATGATCGAAAGTACACTAGGCGAAGATTGAACCCACGTCGATCAGTCTAGTGCAAAGCAACTGTTCCTACATCTCTTCGAAGACGCTGCCTTCTCCTTCTATGCCACTTGCGCCTTTCTTGTGCCTTCCCACGCCTCCTTCAAAGATGTTGCCTTCTCCTTTGAAGCTACTTGTGTCTTTGCCTTCCTTGGAAGCATCATCTGGTTTTTTCATCACGATGAAACTCATGATCGAAACAGTTGGTCGTGCAAATCTTTTGAAGTCATTGTCTTCTCCTTCGAAGTCCCTTGTTCATACTTTGTACTCGAAGCGACAGTCTTCTCCTCCGACGGAACTCAATGGTTGAAGCCATTGGTAATTATTCTCTTCTTAGCTATTGTTTCTTCTTCACGGCCGTCCGAACTCATAACATTTTCTCTCATGAAATCTTATAGATCTGTGATGATGACCGGAGTCCTATGAAATTTGACTAGATCTACTTGCTCCAATAATTTTGTCACCTCACCCCACAACCCTTCCACATTTGTTGATTACTAGTCACATAATCTAGCACCTTATCTAATAGTTATTAAACTTAACGAGCACAACTATCTTGAGTTGATTCAATCCATAAAATTACGATTGACGAGAGATGCAAAATTGGGTATCTAACCGGAGAAATTTCAAAGCCTATTGTCACGGACTAACTCTTCTCGAGCCACCCGTGCGGCTTTAGCGCTCTCCTTTAACACTAAATCAGCCTAACCATTCCAACTGACAAACTCAAAGCACTCTCTTGAAAGTAAAATAGGAAGAAGAGTTAGAGAAGAAAATACTTCACTAATAAAAAGAGAGATTACAAAGCTTGAAAGCTTGAAACCTTGGGTGATTTGAGATGAGGGGAGGGACTCTTATTTATAGCTTCCTCGATGTCTTTGGCTTTACATCTAGCCACTGTGGTACTATTTGTTCAAGGGAAGCTTCTAGATTACAATATAATATTATAGCTTCTAGATCATTCTTATGTACATACATATTTTAGATTCTTCTAGGTTATATGTCATATTATCGGCGGGATTACAATATAATATTCTAGCTTTTAAATCATTCTTATGTACATATATATTCTAGATTCTTCTAGTTTATTTTTCATATTATCGGCGGGGCGTGACACACTCCCCCACTTAAGCTCGCAATGCCCTCATTGCGCTTCTCCTTTTGATACTGTTTGATCTTCTCCTTGAATTTTCATAGTGTGTTTTAATGCTCCCAAGTGGCCTCGCTATCAGGCCATCCTTTGCACTTGATGAGAAACTCTTTGTAATTTGGAACCCCTCGCCGTTTGATCACCCTGTCAGCCATTATTTCTTGGACCTCTTTGTCGAAGGAGGAGATTACTGTTGTAGGCGCTCGGTTGGAGATCATTGACACTCACATAGTGTCACAGATATAGCTCCAAGAGAGCATTGGCCCTCTCAGTTTGTCCATCACTCTGAGGATGAAAGCTTGTGGAAAAGTTTAGATCTGACCCCAACATTTTGAATAATTCGGTCCAAAATCTTCCTGTGAAGCGAGGATCTCGATCGCTGATGATGCTTTGTGGTATCCCGCATAGTTTTACCACGTTGCATAGAAAGAGTCTGGCAGCTTCTTCGGTAGTACAATCGGTGGGTGCAACAATGAATGTTGCATATTTGCTAAATCTATCCACCACAACTAAAATGCTTCCAAATTCACCTGACTTTGGTAAGCTAGAGATGAAGTCCATAGAGACGCTCTCCCATGATCTTTGATGAATAGGTAGCCGTTCCAACAACTCCCCTGGTTGTTGAAGGACAACTTTGTCCTGTTGGCATACAAGACAAGTGCAAACATATTCTTCTATCCCATCCTTCATCCTTGGCCAGTAGTAATTTGTTTTTAGAAGTGCAAGGGTTCGCTTCATACCTGGGTGTCCCGCCCATAAAGAGTCATGACATTATTTGATTAGCTCATTCCTTAAGTTGCCCCACCTTGGTATGTAGATGCGTCGACCTTTGGTGTACATGATATCTTCATCCATCCAGAACTTTCTGGTTTTTCTTTCCTTCACTAGGGCAATCATATTTTGGGCTTGTGGATCGAAGACCAAACCTTCTTTTATTTTGTCTATGAGGGAGCTGGAGATTTGTGACAGACTTGCAAGTTCTGCTTTCCGGCTTAGCGCATCCGCAACTACATTGGCCTTCTCTGGCTTATACTCCAAGATGTAGTCAAATTCTGCCAGAAAATATTGTCATCTTGCTTGCTTGGGATTTAGCTTCTTTTTAGTTTGGAAGTAACTGGTGGCAATATTATCTGTCATGACCTGGAATTTGGAGCCGATCAAGTAGTGCTCCATACCCTAAAGCAATATATGATGGTTGTCATCTTTTTTTCTTCGACTGTGTAGCGACGCTCTGTCTCACTGAGTTTTCGGCTTTCATAGGCAATTGGGTGCCTATATTGCATGAGTACCCCTCCAATAGCAAAATCTGAAGCATCAGCATGCACTTCATATAACTTGGTATGATCAGGAAGGTTGAGTACAGGTTCTTCACTGATTGCCTTTTTGAAGTATTCAAATGCTTCATGAAACTTACTATTCCATTCCCACGTTTTACTCTTCTTTAGTAAGTCCGTCAACGGAGTAGCTCTTGCAGATTAGCCCTTTATAAATCGCCGATAGTAGTTGATAAGACCTAGGAAGGATCTTAGTTCAGGTACCTTGGTGGGATGCTCCCAATCTTGGATGGCTTTGACCTTGCTTCCTTCCATCATGAGCTTTCCCCCCTTTATCCTATGCCCCAAGAACGCCACTTCTTGTTTGGCAAAGGAATATTTTTCTTTCTTGATGTATAACTTATTTTCTTTAAGAACTTTGAATATGTCCCGGAGGTGTTTCAGATGATCTTGGAGTGTGTTGCTATACACCACTATATCATCCAAGTAAACGACAACAAACTAGTCCAAGTATGACTGGAATAGTTTTTTCATCAAAGTGTAAAATGTAGCAGGAGCATTGGTTAGCCTGAAAGACATCACCAAAAATTCAAATGACCCATACCTGGTCACACAAGTGGTCTTCGGTTCATCCCCTTCTGCAATCCTCGCTTGGTAGTAGCCTGATCGGAGATCCAATTTTGAGAAGTATCTTGCACTCCCCAGTTGATCAAAAAGGTCGGCAATGAGAGGGTTTGGATATTTATTCTTCACGGTAATTTTGTTCAAAGCCCGATAATCTATACACATGCGTAAGGAACCATCATTCTTTTTTGTAAATAAAACTGGGGCACCAAATGAGGCTTTAGATGGTTGGATAAATCCTGCCTCCAGTAACTCTTTCAATTGATTGTGTAGCTCTGCCAGTTCTGGAGGTGCCATGCGGTAGGCTCCCATTGCTGGTGGCTTAGTCCATGGCTCCAGCTCAATTTGGTGATCGACCTCCCTCCTTGGTGGTAGTTCTTTTGGTAATTCTGGTGGTGCAACATCCTTAAACTCTTCAAGTACTTCCATTACTTCTCTTAGCGTGGCTTCTTCAGGCTTCAATTCTTCGTCAGAGTCATGAAGGATAGCCAAGTAGCTCTCCTCCTCTCGTCGGATGCCCTTCTTGAATTGAAGGGCTGATAGCATCTTGGTCTCCTGTTGCTTGGCTCTTGTTGTAGGTACTAGGCAAGCTTGGTCGCCTCCCATGATACACATGCTATTGGCAAATGGTATCGGGAACGCCCTTACTTGGTCCAAGAACTCTATACCAATGATTACCTTGAAATCATCCATGGGAATGATGGAGAAATTTAGCGTACCTGACACCAAGGATTACTAGATCTTCATTCCTTTAGCCACTCCATGGATCGGCCTAGCTGAGCGTACCTGACCAATCTCCTACACAGATCTTCATTCCTTTAGCCACTCCATGGATCGGCCTAGCTGTTGAGTTAACCGCCTTGATGGAGCCCCCACCTTCGGCCATTTGTAGACCCATCTTCCTTGCTTCTTCAATAGAGATGAAGTTGTGACAAGCTCCCTTATCTATCATTGCATTAGTAGATGTCTTCCCTATAATCATCTCTATAAAGAGAAGTTCTTTTGCCGGGGTTTTTGAAGAGAAGCGTACCGCATTGAGTAGTTGCATGGTTCCCACCTGGGCGTCCATATCCCTTTCCTCTACCTCTTGATGGCTGGCAAGGAGAGAGTTTAGAGCTTTCTTCTGAGGACAATCCCTTGCCCAATGCGGTCCTCCACAAAGGAAGCAACTGTTGTATGATTTAGTCTTATTGTTGTTGTAAAACTTCCCCTTGTCCTTTGCTTTGAACGAGGTCTATTCGTGATGATTCTCTTCCTTGTGTTGCTCCCGGTCTCCGCTACTTCTGACATAGTTGCTCTTCTTTTCTTTTGGCTTTGTAGACTTCTTTATATAGTCCACCAAGCTTTCGACAATGACGATGGCGGAAGCGAGATCTTGTGCACCACGCCTCCTAAGCTCTGTCTTTGCCCATTTTTGGAGTCCATCCATAAAGTTGAATAGAACATCCTTGTCTGACATATCAGAGATTTAAAGGACCAAACTAGTAAACTCCTTGATATATTCTCGAATTGACCCTATTT